CCGCAGCGTGTGTAGCGAGCGCCGCTGGAATCCTCCGCCGGAGTCGAGGTATCGGCCGCATTGCCAAGCTTATCGCCGGCGAGGAGCCACAGCGACTTGCAGAAGCCGCGCTTCTGCAGTGCCATTCGGCAAACACGGCAGTACGGCCTGCGTGAGGACGGTGGACAGAAGACCACCTGCTTCTGCTTCCCGGACACTTCTGGCAGCCAAACGCCCCTGCAGCAGAACCTGAACAAGCTAGGCTGGGTGCTGTACTTGGAGCACGTAACACGTAGCAGCTGAGCCCCGGAAAGAGGCGCGCAAGCAGAGAGCATGCTGCTTTTGGGGCAGTACACAGTAGAGAAATCCTAGTCAGCTACCCGTGCCGAGACGAGCAGGGAAGTAGGGCCGCTGTAGGCCACTAGAGCATCAAAAGCACCACCCGCAGGCGCTCGTATCGGTGTCCTCGCGATTGTCATTTGCGTGCCTTGTCCAACGATCGGAGATGTCACGTGGCAGTCGCGTTTGTGAGAGGGTGCCGGGTACTTTCTTATAAGCACTTCAGCACGCAGCGGCGCAGACCGTAGGACTTTCTTGTCCGCTTGCTGCCGAGGGTTATGATAGCAGTAGCATTTTTCTGATGTGCGCCTTGCTGGCCCTTGTAAGCTTATGGCGTTCGCGCAGCACCCTATTCCAGTGCGCATTTGCCGAGCAGACTGAGGTCGGCATCTTCATCATCGGTTGGGTTACGGACCGCAAAGACCCCGCCAATCCGGAGAGTGCTGCCTCTCGCTGGCAAGTTGCAGTAGCGGCTGCTGCAGGCCATTCCCACAAGCCCAGGCAAGTCCCTTGATGTGTCTTGCCAGGCATGGCTCTACATGATTCTGGTGTCCGTTACCTTGGCGGTGGCTGCCATTCCAGAAGGCATCCCACTCTGCGTGACCATCTCGCTGTGCCTCGGACTGTGAACTTTGCCAAGAGAGAGTGTGCGTTTGAAATTATAGCTGGGCTTCGTGGTGTGCTGGACTAGTTTTAAGATGGCGATTGCTGAGATCTTCCATGCCCTTGCAAGGTCGATTGGATGTTCGGAGACCCGGCTGCCTCAATCTGCAGGGTTGATTTAATAAGACCCGGTCGTTCGCAACTTCGCAACACTGTGTACAAACCCCCTGCAAATGTGCTACCCAGGACATGGCCGGTGCCCGAGCATACTGGTCACACAAGCACAAGCCAGTGCATGCCATGTGCTGTTGTAGGGTGCTCGTTTGTGCTTCAGTGAGGTGAACCAGGAAGTGCTGGTTCGCAAGCTTGCAGCCGTGGAGACTCTGGGCTCGGCTTCCGTCATCTGCAGTGACAAGACGGGAACCCTGACTGAAGGCAGGCTCCTTGTGCTCCTTGAATTGCCTATTGTGCCAGCTGGCGCAGGCAAGATGACCATGGTTGGTATGTACACCGCCGGCGTGACCTATGACGTGACGGGAAAGGGATTTGACCCGGAGGCACTTCAAGAACTGCACGGAAAGTGTATGGGACGTGACATTGGCTGTGCTTTGGCATGCTCTTGCAAGATCCAAAGGGCTCTTCCGTCTTTGTTGAGTTCGTATTGAGTGCGATGATGTGCGACGAGCGCTGTCGCAGGTTGGCCAAGTGCAGCGTAGCGGCAGCACCGCCAACAGCGGGAAGGACATGGGCAGCTCGGCTTGGAGCGGAGATTTGAGTGACCAAACGTGACGGCACTGCTTTGCCTGCTTTGCCTGCTTTGCCCTTTGAGGCGTGAAGAGCAATCTGCTGGCGGCCACAAGCTCAGCGAAGAGAAAGCAAGCAAGACTTTGCGCAGTTCATAGCGGGACGGCAGCAGCTGCTTGATAAGGCCATCTTGTGCTGCAACACGACGCTCTCGAAAGAGAAGGACGAGGATGGAGTGATGAAGTGGACACCGAAGGCCCTTGAATAGATTGCATGCAGCACGTGATGGCTACATCCGTTTCAATCTGCGTACCGATGGTGAGTCGTCACACAATGTCATACACACAGTTCAGACCCCGCTCTGAGCTCTGCTGTGTCGCTGCGCCAGGGCAACTCCTCCGAGGCGCCGATCGTCGTGGCTGCCCGCAAAGTGGGCTTGTCGGAGACCATCGCCAGCCCTCCGACTGCCGACTCCGAATCATCCTCGTCGGGTCGTCACAGGGATTTTTTCCCACCTCCACTGCAGACCGAGGCGAATACCCACGCGTGCTGGAAGTGCCTTTCTCGTCCTCGCGAAAGATGATGCCCTCAACTCAAGCGCAGCATCGCGCTTGGCCGCGACCCTCTGTCAAAAAGCGCCGAGGCTGACGGTGTCTCGCGTGAAGGGCGCGGAGATTTGCCCCGGTGGAATGCCGCTGCCAGCAGGCCTCTTTGAGTCAGTGCGAGACATGTTGATGAAGTTTCGTGAGTTTGGAGGGAAACACGTTGTGACGCAGGCACCAACTACCTGGCTGTGTGCAAGGGGGTTCGGGCCCTCAGCAGCTTCCCGGGCTTTGGCACGGACATGAGTGGAAAGAGTGGAATGCCAGGCGCCAAATTACATCATCGACCTTTGCTCCGAACAGCTGAAAGAGGATGGCAGCGACCCGGTCCGAATCGTGAGTCATGGTTTCAGGTTTCAGGCCCGCGCTGCTGAGGTGTAGCGAAACTGACGGAAGATGACAAGAAGGAGAGATACTGTTCCTCTTTGGGTCCTAGCCTTGAGCCTTGTACCTACAGTCTACAGAGTCTACAGTCTTCTGCTGAGCCTTGCAGTTTGCTCAGCCCTCTCCCTCCGAAGGAGATCCTGCAGATCGTGGACGGCACCAGCCCCAGCAGAAGCAAGACTTTGCGCTTGGAACCCAACTTACCCCACCTGCTTCTGCTGTCCGGAAGGATATTCTGCACGTGCTCTTCGAGTCCTTGCCATCGCTGCTCGACCGATGAGCTCGCTTCCGCTGCTTGGTGAAGTTTGTATGAGGAGGGAGCATCTTCCCCCTTCCAGCCAGAATCTGCAACAAGCTTCCAGAGAGAAGAGGACATCTCTACACATGTAGTGGCCGCGTGAACCCACTGGTGGTCGTACAGTACCTTTTTATTGGTTGTGTAACAGTATTGCTTTTGCATTGGACTTTCGTCTTCAGGTATGACGAGAACAATGAGGATGCATCTCGGATTGGGAGCAACTTCATTGATGTTGAATTGGCTTGACATTGTGAATTCACTAGCAGGACTTGCTTGGGGTTGAACGGGCGATCGGAGTGACTGTTCAAGCCCCGAGATCTCCACGGATCAGAAGTTCGAAGCTTGCCGCAAGCAGCTGCGCTTGATTGGACTGGTCGCGTCTATCGATCCCGAGCGTGGCTCGTCTACACACTGGCTCGGCAGACTTTTTGAGAATTCATGTTCACCTGGGCACCGGGATGCGTGCACGGGATGCTGTCCTCGGCCTCCTGTTTCCCAGGCGATGGCGTGCCGGATTCTGTCCTCGCAGCCCGTGGTGCGGGCATTCGCGTGGTGCTTCTGTCGTGCAACAAGATTCTGCCAGCCTTTCCTTCCCTTTGTGATTAAGTTCTGCTACGAGAATGCTGGCTCTAAACTGGCAGATCCTCAGGTCATGATCACAGGTGACTATCTCCTTACGGCCATTGCTATTGCCAAGAACGTCGCCAGCCAGCACATGGGAAGTTGCACTCCACAAAGAGAATGATTCGCTGCTCCACCCATGGATGACCCACGTGAGGTCAACATCCTGCAGCCCTGCGATGATCCCGATGTCTCTGCTGTTGACTGCGCCTGCCTCCGCCCCGATGGTGAGTACCTGGATAACAAGGAGCCGATTACTTTTTGAGCAGACATGCACCTGCTTGTGCTTGAGCTCAGGGTGGGGTTTAAATATCTCACCTACGGTGGCAAGATTGTTTGCGATATGTCGTTCCTGCCAGTGCAGTAGCTGACAGGAGATGGACAAACTGACAGGTTCTGTCCGAGTCTTCGCCCGCGCCAAGCCAGAGGTCCTGCAGTCAGCTTGGCTTCCGTGGCTACATGCCAAAACGGATTGTGCGACGTTTCCTTGAGCCTTTCACAATGGATTGTTCTGTTGGCAGGATAAGCTGGAGATTGTCAAGAGCATCCAAAGACAAGGCCAGCCGGGCGAAGTGAATTCTGGGGTGGTGCTAAGTATCCGTACCTGAAGGTCAAGTGGCGGCGATGACAGGTGACGGAGCACCATGGCTCAGATTGAGTTTCATTTCAGTGCTTGCGGCTTGTCCACATTGCGAAACCCGACTTCAAACGAACCAAGGTCAACGATGCCCCGGCACTGAATCAAGCCGACATTGGCGTGGCCATGGGTATCCAGGGCACAGAGGTGGCAAAGGGTGCCTCCGACATGAGCTTCGGCTAATCTCTGCCTGCAGATGGCAGCAAGACGCAAGGCCCGTCAAGCACGCTGCTCATTTCTGCAAGATATGGAGCTGAGGATCTTGACAGATGACAACTTCTGTTCCATCGTGGCGGCTGCCATGTTCTTAGATGAGAGCTCTCGGTATGTGTGACGCGCTTGCGGCTTCAAGTTGGAGTGTGCGCTTGCCCGCAACATCACACCACACGGAGACTCGTTGTGTGAGGTGGAAAAGGGGCGTGCCATCTATGCTGGCATCCAGAAGTTCGTGGCTTTCATCATGTCGGTGCACATTGCAGAGGCTTGTGCCGCCAGGACTTGCATCGGCGATTTCACCATGCGGGTGCGCACACCCCTGAAGGTGATGCAGATCTTCATCTGCATCGTGGTGGGCATCCCCGTGTTTTGGCTAAGCTAAGTCGGAATGTCTTTTCAAGCCCTCACCTGCTAAAGCAATTGCGGCTTCTTGATCAACTGGTGCCCTTGCATGCTCGCATGTCGCGCAGGTCATGCGAACGCCTCTGCAGATCCTGTTCTTGATTCTGGTCACGGACTTGCCTCCTTCCATTGCCCTGGGCGTCGAGCCAGGCCATGCGGGAGCCGGCAGTTGCTGTGGTTTCCGTACTGCGCCGGTCCGAAAGTTCGCCGCACTCTATGTTGTTCACTTACAACAAACCTGTCCAAGGCCCCTTTCCCCCCTAGACTCCTCCACAAGTCCTCCTCCCGGAACAATTATGGTGTTTTAACTTCTTTACGGGATGATACGGCCTCCGCTAGCCAGACTAGGGCATTCCTTACTTCCTGTACTCCGCGTACTCCGTTTAGTGTCTCTAGCGGGTACGACGAAACTGTATTACCGGGCATGTAGTCTGAAGCCGAGAGCCTTAGAGCCCAAGGTGAGGCGAACATCCTGAAGATGCGTCCGCGCCCGAAGGCGAGGCTTTGCTCAAGTCCCTGCGTGCGATTTTTGTTGCGCACAGCCACCTGTCAGGACGAGCCCATTGTGCTAAATTGGCGACTCGCGTGCACTGGTTTTGCGCCTTGGGGTTTCCTCCAACTCCAAAACTGGGTAGCTGGAGCCAGGATGTGGCTGGCCATGATCATGAATGGCATGGTCTTGACAGACCCACGGCTGCAAGGGCCGTGCCAGTATGTGCATGCAGTGCCCATTCCCAAGTTCAAGCTTGCGATCGAGAATGCATGCCCTTCGTCAGACGGTGATTGTCGCCGTGTACTTGATCTCGCTCATGCACTTCTGCGAGGGCGAGATTCTGCAAGCAAACATTTACTTGCTAGAAGGCCGGTGCTCTGCGTCTGCTAGGAGATCTTGCCAGTTGGCTGACATGCTGTGATTTCAGCGATTTCCCCTCATGTCTGGCAAGCTCAGCAGCCTTGTGCTATGGCAGGTTACGAGACAAAGCTGCTGAGTTGCACGCGTTTGGCCATGCAGCCGGATAGAAGACAGGTGCAGTTGCTTGGTACAGCCACTGAGGTTGAGCTTGGCCCAGACGGTGGCATTCATCTCCTTGGTTTGGAGCCGTGCTGAGTTTTTCCAAGCCGTCAAGTCTACCATGTTCTCGTTCACATTCCGAAATAGACCATGGATGGGGCAAGCAACTCTCCCCTTTCACAGGTCTGAGAACATCCGCGCTTACATCTCCCGCTCCTTCACAAATCCGATGTGGCACGACATCCTTGGAAACAAGGCTTCCCTGCTTCGCACCAGCGTGCCCGCGGCAACCGAGTGTCTTGTGCTCAGATGGCATAAACCACAAACTTGCTCGTGGGCAGGAGATGCAGAAGGCGATTGTCCTCGCCCAGATCTGCTTGTACGGAGTCACTTTGAAACTGTGAACATGGGTTGTAAGGTTACAATTTCAGGAAGTGTATATCATGTCGACGGACGTGGAAGACTCTGGAAAGAGGAGTGGTTCAGGGTGCGGAGCACAAGAAAGGCTCCTCATGACCTTGGCCTGTCTCGGATTCAAAATGGACTCTTGAGCAAAATGTGCCAGATCGTCGCCCAAGGCTGTTCTGATTCCGTATCTGTCCGACAAGATTCTGGGACTGCGAGGTCTCGAGATTGGTCGCCTGCTCAGGAGCGTTTGAGTGTTTCCCCAGATCCTTGTGGGATTGGGGCTCTCGTTTCCGCATCTTCACCTGGCAAAGAGTTCTTTGGCACTGTGCCTTTGGGCTTATGGCACCGAAATCATGTTCCCACAAGGTCGCCAAGTTTGCAGTTTTGGCATGGTAGGTGGGAGGACCTTGTGGCGGAGGTTCTGGGAGTTGCCGCAACTCAACCTTAGACCAGATGCAAGAAGGCATGTTCACACCCTGCCACATCAACTTCCACACCTCAACCAGCAGGAGTCCGAGAATCTAGCATCTGAACACAACGTGGCATTTTAGTGCTCCAGCACACAAGTACAAGGCCCCGTTGCTCATCATCACTCCATCGCCCCACCTGCCAAGGTCTTAAGGTCCTAAGGCTACACCATCCCATGCCAGCCCACAGCCACCCCACACGACCAGGAGTGTCTGTACCCAGTTGCACATGGCTATCCAACGCAGGCCGTGGCCGCAAAAGCAGTGATCGGCAGAGCAGTTGAGGTGTCTTTGGTTGGGCTCTGGCAATCGTTGGCCCAGTGGGTTGCTTCATCCTCTCGGAAGGCTGCAAGCTCATTAGTCGGGGCCGCAGGAACAGCGGGTTGCGTTGTATCTGTTCACATCCACGCGCTACCGGCCAGATCTGCGCTTGCCAGCTTGATGTGCCTGCCCAGGTGCCTATCAGGCCAGGAAGTACCAGGACATACTTGCTCCATACAGAACTTGAAATATCGGACACGAGTGGCCGAAGCGGGTCGGAACTGTTGAGTCCTGCGACAGCGAGACGACCGGCATGCGAAATCCACAGACCCAGCTGCAGGAGTCTCTGGCAATCTCTGACGCTTCGGAGACACGGAAATCACCTCTGACTCGCAAGGCCCTGGAAGTTCTCCAGTTTGCCCCCCATCCCCAACTGAAGTGCCTTCACTTGGCAGGGCACAGCAGCGGTGTCACTAAGAAAGCATTTGGTGTTGGAGCGCTTGAGCACTGCAACCTACATTGTGGTACCCCGGGTTGCTGAGGAAGCCGGCGAAGTCGGCGGCTGCGGCTCCTGAGGGCCGCTGCTGCTGGGTGCCTCGGCAGGAACGGCCACCTGTCGGTAGGAGAGACCGCCAACTTTGATTTTTGCTGAGGGCTGGTTCTGGTGATGACCAGGGCTTCCCAGGTCAGGCTCCTCACAGCAGCTCCTTTGTCTGTACTGCTTCAGGACTTCAATTCAAGCGCGAAAGCGTATATTTCTAGCGAATGAACAAATTCTAGTTAATAGTTATGCAAGTTCTTTGAGAGAAGGCGAAGGGGCCGCACCATCTACACGCAAGAGAACACAAGACAAGTTGCTTGTGTATTTGGAGAACAGCTTGGTTCTCACCGGCGCTGCAGATGCTGGGCTCCAAGCAGCAAGCATAAAATCAAGCTGCTTTCATGCTTCACAAACTTCACAACGCATGCCAGGTCCTAGGTGGAGCCTAGCAGGAATGGCAAGCCTTCGCTTGTCAGCTTTTTCCTTGACTCTGAGCTTACTCTTGGGCTCAATCTTGTGTATGTACAAGTTTACCAGTGTCAGTTGCTGTCAACGGTTGCGCGGGTGCTTTGCTGCGGATCGGAGATCACAGCAGCCCAAAGCTTCCTTTTTAAGCCTGCCCCGTCACTTCTGGCTGCGGGATCTCAGCGAAGCTGAATCCCCTCATCCTGCGTAGAGGGTTTTCAAGGTGTTACATCCAAGCCGGACATGAATCATGTTTTCTGCGATCTTGGTGCCCTTGATAGTCACTCCTCTTTGCAAGGATCTCGATGGCTGTGCGAAGCCAACTTAATGTTCCCGTCAGAGCCTGCCTGACCCTGCAATCACAGTGGCTCGGGCAGGCCTGTAAACGCCGATGCCGGCAACGGTTTCTGAAAAAGTTGCTGGATGAACGAAGGGTCTGGTCCTGTTCAACGAAGTGAGTCTTGTCATGATGAGATTTGCTCTCACACCACGGCAGCCATTGCTACTCAACCCAGTCCAACCCCGAAGCGCCTTGCGGATTCCCGCGTCATGTCTCTTGGCTGTGTTGAGCTGGGCGCAGCTAGGGGTGCATGGCCGGGTTTCTGTTCCTTCATATGGGTGGAGGTAATTTCAACAGCCGGGGTAAAAAGCAAGCTCTCAGCTTTGTTTCGCCGTTTTTTGGCCGAGGTCTTCCAAGGACCTGAAGAGACAGTCCTCCGGCGGCCTGAAGAAGCAGGGCTCGAACAACGACCTCGCAAAGAAAAAGAAGCAGAGCAATGCAGACCAGCAGGCGAAGCAGCTAGAAGATGCGGACACTTGGGCATTGCAATTGCACATGTCATTGCTGTTAACCACTGGCGCTTGCAGAGCTAGCTCGCACATTGCTTTGACAGTGCAACTGGCAGCCGAGGAGAAGCCCATCGATGACTTGGCCAAGAAGTACAAGACCAGCTTGCAGAAGGGCCTTTCCAGCAAGAAAGCAGCTGCCCCTCGCCTAAATTCAGCTTCCCCCTTGCAGGAGTAACTGGAGAATAACTCAGCCCGTACCAGCGGTGGAGACATCCTGGACTTCAAAGTCTGCGACCGTGAGAGCCGTGCAGAGTCCAGAGTGGTCGACCTTTCGAGACTCCTGAGACTCCTCCGATGTGGCCTCGTGGCGGCACCGAGCGTTTGCGCTGCCAAGGAGATCCTGGAACGGGACGGCTTGAATGAATTGGAAAAGCCTCCGAAGCCCACCCTGCTGATCCTGTTCTTGATGCAGCAGCTTGTCTTTCAGTTTCAGATGTGCTCTGCTCCAGTCGAAGCTCCTCTCGGCCCCAGGCTCACCAGCTTCATCATTGTGCTGCTCATGGTTGCAGCAGTCGCCTCCGTGCTTGTCAATGCCACGGGTCCGAAGGCTGCAGACCCACTGTCCTACACTACAGGCTCGCAGTGCCTTCTCCAGTCCGGTCTGCTTCTTGTTCCAAGAAGTTCTGAAACATCGAAGCTCGCAGCCAGGTATTGCCATCGTTCTCTGGCTGCAAAAAGAATCATGGCATGCACGCTCTAAGCTTGGGTGCATTGCCGGCTATGGCTTCTTGCCTTCTAGCGGCCCCTCTGCACATCTCTTCGGTGCTGTTTTAGGTGGGAAGCACAGGGGATCTCAGAGCCCATGGCCGCAGGGAATCATTGTCCTCATCAACGCCGGCATCGCTGCATGGACGGAAGCCAAAGCCGGTGATGCACTCGAAGCGACGCTCGGCCAAGTTCCGCAATGCCCTTGATCCTTCCAAAAGAAGTTCCCTCCGAGATTTGAAGTTTCTCTGGCTGCAGGCTGGCCCAGATGACCCAGGCCAACATCTATGTGCAAAGCTAAGCCTGCAGGGATCTGCGGGGCTCTGTCGTGAAATGGAGTCCATGGCTCAAGCAGGGTGGTACTGCAGCACCTGCGACAACAGCAACAGCAAACAGGAACGCTGAGAGGACTCAACAGGGCAGCACGCAATTCCATCTGCTACATGCAACTTACGCATCGGGGATCAACCGCGAACATTTTCAGCCATGGTAACGTGGAAATGAGCTTCGCTTCCCTTCTGGAGTTGGATCTGGCCGTCAAACTCTTCGAGCTGCTGGGTCCCGTGGGGACGGCGGCCCTAGATGTGGCAAGCAGGCAGCACCTGCATTCCATCCACGAGCCTGGGCTCCAAGAGAAAAATCATCAACTGAACATAGAACTTGCTGCTTTTTGCGAGCTGTCGGAAGTCGCAGGCCGAAGCCTATTGGAGCAGGGCTCTTCGTGTCGAGAGCGACTGTGAAGACCTTGAAGTTGAACTAGGCGCGTTGGGTGCCCCGCAATGAAGCGTGAAGTGCGTGGCTATGTCTGTAACTAAGCCACTATGTAAGCAGTGCTCCATTGGCAATGTCATCCCTGCCAGATCCTGGCGAAAGATCCCGACAATGCCTTTCCCGTTCCGTCTTCGCAAGATGCCGCGGGCAGGACGCAATGCCAATGCCAAGAGCGGATTGAGGAAGGTGAGAATAATACAAGTGGATGGTCGATACGTCAATGTCGATAATTGGGCATATGCTTGCGGGAAGGGTTTTTGTGGTCGAGGGACCTGAGTCGGTGGTCGCGACCAGTACTAAACGACATGGCATTCTAGGTCATAGTTCACTTGACCAAGACTTTAGGAAGATAGCCTAGAACATATGTGCCGAAGACCGGTGGCCGACACTACGCGAAACAAATCCTCGAATGCCGCTACAGTAGCAACCCGGGGCCAAGAAACGAGAAGAACCCCACGCAATGCAAGAGCCCTCTATGCCACCCTCCAGGAGCTGGCCCGCACAGGCTGGGTCTGGGCGGGGGAAAAAAGCAGGCTGAGAGCAACTCCTCGAGTCAGGTCGTCGAGAGCGACTGGGCGCTGCTCTGGGCAAGCGAGGCGGGGCCTTGCAAGCCTTGAGTGTTGCCGGGGTCCCGATGTTGAAGTGCAGCTTAATAGGGACATGATGGCACAACTACTAGCACTGCAAGCAGACATCTCTCGAGACTGGACTATCCTCACGAGAGCTCATAGTGTTGCAGATAGTTGCGAGCCGCAAGCTAGCTGTTGGGCCAAGTGAGAGAATCGGAACCTGTCGCTTGAACCACTTCAGGAGGTGCAGACGTCAGGACCTCGAGTCGTAACGGATGACAAACGGGTGTACAGTGTACAGGAAGCCCCGTTTGGCTATGTCCTGGCAAACGACAGGTCTACCCCTGCGTGGTGACAGCCGGCTGTGCAATGGCTACATTCAGTCAGGCACGTCACCTACTGGTTTGGTCGACTTTAAAGCTTCATGCAGGGCCAAATGCAGTGTTTCGATATGTTTCGCAAGTAGCAGAGTGTGCATCTTCAATTCGGTTTTCTTTTCTAGTTTCACGGATTCACTTAGAGTCTTAAACTTAACCCAAAAACCTCAAGCAAGCGGTGGGATGGCCACGCCCATCCAGTTCAACAGTTGTCATGCGAGTGTTTCTTAGTTCAGCCGAGCCCCCTGCGGTGCGACTTGGTCAGCTGGGCGGTGGGAAAAGCAGTTTACCAGTGCAGCCACTGCGCGCATCTTGTCGGACGGACAGGTGTCGGAGACGTAAATGCCATTGTTGCCACAATGGTGACCGGGCAGCATTTTGGAGCGTTGGGTTTGTCGCAGGCCAGTTTCTATCTGTTACGGAGCCCTACCTGCCTCAAATCCGCGCAAAGGTGGAAATGGATTTCTACTTCTGCCAAACATCCTACCCCCAGGAGCGTGAGCGAGTCCTGGAAGAAAATTTCGAGCAAGCAAGAAACGATGCGCTGGATGCGGCTCATGCAGGGGAGTCCACTTCAGTGAATCATCTGGATTATGTGGAGAAACTGAGCAGTGAAGACATCTCTCAGATTTGCAAGGTGCGAGCACTGTGGAGGCTAGCAAAAGCCTTTTGCGAGTTCTGGCGTTCTCACGAAGACGCATCAATGGACGATGGTTTACAGACCTTATTGGCCAATGCTCCTGTCACTCTTCACCAGCGCATACGCTGGTTTTGGACTTTTGCCCAGAACGGCAATGCGACAGATGTACCGCCACCACAAGTCTATGAACAATTAGGCGGGTCCCACCCGAGCCCATTGTAATCGACCACAGGTAGCTTTTGCTGCGCCCTTGACGTGTTTTTGCCCTGAGGCATTTCCGTACGTTCCGAGCCCGCAAGTGTCCGCCGGGCCCGGCTGCGTGCGCAAAGTGCCAAAGAGCAAAGTGATATGGAGGCAGGTTGCTAAAGTGCTATAAAACATGCAACGTGCCCTTCCCCATGGGGCCCGAAGCCGAAGGCCCAAACGCTGAAAATCTGACTCGGTGGCGCAGCAAGGGGTTGCAGCTTTCCAATCTCTTGGGTGAGCCGCAGCGTAGCGCTTGCAGGAGTCCCTGCGCGTGCACATAGAAGCAATGCGCCGTCTGGCGCGGGACGAGCCATGCTTGTGCTTTTCTGCTTGACTTTGACAGATTCTGCTTGCCTGCTTGCCATGCACATGATGTCGTTTGCCCTTGGAGGACGAATCCTTGCAAGACCACATCACGCTGCCGGCAAACCTGTCGAGAGATGAGCGTGCATTTCTTCACCGGGTTGCAGGCGAGCGGCTCGACGGCAGCTGCCCACAACAGCCCTCAGAATGCCAATGCCGGTGTAATTACCTCCGCCACCGTGTTTTGAACCTGTGCTCGACACTTGGCTCTTCCTTGGCCAAGGCTTGACCTCAACCATGAAAGCGTGGGAGAAGGTCCACACCGAGCTTTGAGGATTTGGCGAAGCACATCCTCGGGAAGCTGATCATGAGTCCCAACCCCAAGGCCACTGTCGACTCCGCCAAGCCAGAGCATCTACAGCCCGTCAAAGCCTGTTGCACGCTCCCTTCATCAGCGTGGATCGCACGCAGTAGGTGCGAGTTGCCTTGTGGTGAAGGATGTTTCGCTGTTGAGCGAGAAAGACTGTTTGAAGCCATGTCTCTGACAATGCCTTGGTTGAGCTCATGCGGTCGGTTTGACCTGCAATGCTGCTCAACTTCAGGAGTCATACTGGTGATCAAGTTGCTGCAACAAGCAGACCCACAAAATGTGAGCAGGAAATATGGCAAATATGGCATGGCAGAGCTTTGCGTTGAAAAGGCTTCGGAAAACATGGTCTCAGCCCAGCCTTGTTTCTCACGTGGCGTTACCACAAACAGGGCGTAAGAAAGGAACTGGCCCAAGGTGCTACGAGATGGCAAGGAAGTGCAGATCGCTGTCCCGACGGTCGTCGCAGGTGACATTGCTTCTTGGTGTGATGCTCTACACAACTTGAGCTTGTTGTTCAGCAGAGCGACAGCTTTCCGTATGTAAACAATCGGCCAGTGGCGCAATGGTGCAAGCAGAAGCATAGCTGCTGTGGCATGGCTGCAGAGACTCAGTTTTCCGCACTTCTTGATGAGGTTGTTCTTGGTGTTGGAGATGTTGTTCCTGCCGATCTCCGCCTCTTCGAGGCATTCCGTCCGGTTCAGCTGCAAGACCAGCATCGGAGCTGTCTGAGTGAGTGTCGCCACAAGTTCAGAAGTGCAATGCTTTGGAGGGCCCATGGCAGGGTAGGTGGGCTGCTGGGTGGGGCGGGACGTGGTGAAAGCAGCCGCACTCGGTCACTTGTGCAGTTGCAGCAAAGGAGAAGCAGCAGTAGCAGTAGCAGCCAGAAGCACTAGTCACTTCACATCGCTGTGGTGGCAGATGATGGGAACTGTGGCAGTATTTGTGGCAGCAGCAGCAGCAGCAGCAGGTAACAGCGGCAGCTGCGGCAGCAGCAGGAGCTGGAGTTGGAGCAGGAGCCGTAATATACTGGTGCTGGTGGTGGTGGTGGTGGTGGTGGTGGTGGTGGTGCTGCTGCTGCTGCTGCTGCTGCTGCTGGTAGTGATGGTAGTACACGACGACGACGACGACTGGTACCATTATCACGACGACGACGACTACGACGACGACTGCTACGACGACGACGACTACTACTACCACTTCTTCCACCGGAATAACGAGTCTCCATGGAGACGAACAGGAAAATAGGGTTGCTAATCAATAGAAGAGCATCCTTCAGGCCCAAGCACTTGCCACACAGCGTAGCAATGTTTTCTGGTGTGCAATCGTCCTTCTCACTGCTACGAATGTCGGGCGGGTGGGGCGACATCTCAGTCTTCTAGGTTTATGGACATCAGCCTTAGCATGTAGGAGCAGCCATCGCCACCATGGCACCCGGCTAAGTCTCCTAAGCTCAGCACCCCCTATCCAGGCCAAGGACTTCAAGGTGAGCGAGATGGCTTTGACAGGCGGGACGCTTTGTCCGGGCGAAAAAATGCAGCCAGGCTATTCGGACAGGTGACACTGCTACGAAGCTGTCTGTTCGAAGCACCATTCCGTTTGAACAAATACACCCGACGAAATTGGCACATGTATGGGATTTTGTGCATGGCAGGCGAGCCTGATGATGTGACGAAAACCAGCAAGGTGAAGGAGAAGAAGGAGGGCCCGGAAAAGCTGCCCGGCTATCAAGCACTGCTGAATGATTGCCAGTGGCTCCCTTCGTACCGTAGTTGAACTCGCATGTATTGCACCGGTGTGCCTTGAAGATGGATTGATACACCTTTTGTACGTACTTCTGCAAGTTCCATTCGTGCATCCATGCCGGTGCGCGGTGTTTTTGATGTGTTGTCTTGAAGCCTACGGAGGCTCACGCCGGAGACGATGGCCTTCTCGGGCTGCAGCGTTACGAGTGGAGCGGGCCGAGGGTTGGTAACGGACACGGGTATGGGCACTCGCCGCTTGGCCAGAAAAGTGAGAGAACCTTACAACTCGACATGCCCGCCCCCAGACCTGCGAAAGGGACATCGGACAAAGGGTCCGAGAGTTGATGTCCTTGGATCGACAGGCATTGGGCGAATTGCCAAGCTCATTGCTGGTGATGCTCCTTGACCTGCAGATGTCTGCAGGGACCGAAAGTGTTTGCAGAGGTGGGATCTTGTAGCCTTAAGTCGGAGCTCAGGAAGGGCCGAAGACGACATGCTTCTGCTTCCCAGACACGTCCGGCAACCAAACGCCGCTCCAGCAGAGTCTGAACAAGCTAGGCCGGGTTCCTTGAAGCTCCCGATGCAGCTTCACAGCTGACGGAGCTGGTGTTCCAGCTGCAAAGGCTTCGGCCGTTTCTGTGCGTGCAGGCGCACGCATCGGCATCCTGGCGATCATCATCTGCGCTGCTTGACTGCCCTGGCACAGGTTTGCCCACCGACACCAGTGTGCAGGAAGCGGTAATATGCGGTAATCGCAACCTTGAGCAAGCCTTGGCCTTCGTGCAAGACCGCAGGCCTCAAAGTGTGGAGGAAGTAGGATGCCGTAGGCGTGTAAGCCGGCCCGGTGATGGAGGAGGACTTCGATGCCTGCATAATCGGTGCTGGCCCAGGCGGTCTGTCCGCTCTTTCATCCCTGATTGAGCCGTATTCAGCCGATCAGCTTTCACAAGACCAAGTCACGAGAGCTGGTCAGGGATATGGTTTCCAGAAGCGTCGGGATCTGAAGATCTGTGTGATAGACCCCGAGCCATGGATGAAAGCGTGGCACAAGCGATTCAAAGCCTTGGACATCCAATGGCTTCGCTCACCAGCAGGAGCCCATCCAGATCTCTTTGACATGAGAAGCCTGCTGGCCTATGCTGTGACAAATGGTCGAACTGATGAGCTGTTAGAGTCAGGCGCCGTGAACCAACAGCTCCGATCTTTGGGCGAAGCCCACACAGGCCTTTGGCACCTACCATCCAATCGTCTCTTTGAGGACTTCTGCAAGGACCTGACCAAGCGCCTGCCTCATACATTCGTGCGTGGCACGGCTGCTGCTGTTACTGGCAGCGATGGCGACTTTACCGTGACGTTGGCAGACGGGCGAGAGCTGCGCGCCAGAAATGTGGTGCTCGCTTTGGGAGTGCCGGGCCCTCCAAGAGTTCCGCCGGCCTTTGCAGACTTACCCAAGCACCTGATGTTCCACTCAGATTTTGAGCTGGGGTCTCGCATGAAGGAACTTCGGGGGAACAAGCATGTTCTTGTGATCGGTGGTGGGCTGACAGCAGTGCAGGCAGCACAGCTTGCATTGAAGAAGGGTTGCCTCGTCACGCTTTGCAGCCGTCGTGAGCTGAACACTCGCCACTTCGACGTGAGCCAAACATGGTTCGATCGAAGGCAAGCAAATCGGCACCACTATGAATTCTTTGAGCAGTCCTTAGACTGCCGGCTGAAACACATCAAAGAAGCTCGTGGCGGTGGGAGCGTACCGCCAATGTACATGAAGGAGCTGCGGGACGCAGAAGCTAATGGCATGCTCGAGTTGAAATGTGCGGAGGCGAAGGTCGAGGCAATTTTCTCCGACTCTGTTCAAGTACGGCTTGGCAGTGAGGTGAAGTGCTTCGATCTGGTGGTGAACGCTTGTGGTCATGCCCCGGACTGCCAAAAGCTTCCTCTGGTAGGCCAGCTGCTCAGGGATTACCCTGTGGAGGTTGTTGGTGGTTTTCCGGTAGTCTCGCAGGACCTGCAATGGGGGAGCTTCAAAAAGCTCTTTGTGATTGGTGCCCTGGCATCGCTTCAGGTAGGCCCGGATGCTGGGAATCTGATGGGTCTCCGCCGTGCCGTGCACATCATTGCCAATGTCCTCGGCCTCCGCGAGTGGCTCAAGGACACGAAGTCCGTTCTGGGAAACATCCGGGGGAACCGCTATGCAGCCCTCGGCGACAGCGACGACAGCGACAGTGGCTCAGAGAGCTGCTCCGAACCGGGCAGTGACGAGTCGGCAGGGTCTAAGTCTCGAAAAAATCTAGACGAGGCCAGCACAGAAGCCTCCAGTGAGGGCCTTGGCCCGCGCAGCCCCTCCAAGGCGTAAGCTGCATGTTCAAATCTGAGCAAATTTGCCGGTTTTGTGCCTCCCGGGCCTGTTGCCGGAGGATTCGTCTTGTATAGCTAGATGACTGTTATGATGCGTCAGCTCGCACAAGCGACTCTGATTCAACAGAGGTGCAGTTCGTGAAGTGCCGATGAATTCTTTATGCACGGACAGCGGTTGTGGCGCCAAATGGTGCGGCTTGAGATGACAATGACATGCATCCGCCGCGCGAGGGGTGGCTTTCGTGGATCTGTGGGCAGAGTCTCCTTCCCGGAAGATCAGAAACTGACACAGCGAGTGCGCCGAAATCCGAAGTTTAAAACGCCGGCTTGGTCTTGCGCTGCTCTTCTCCAAAGGTGGCATGCCATGACAAGAACAAGTTTTGAAGCTTGCCTACCCCACCAAGGTTGGAATTTTCATCATCGGCTGGGTGACAGACCGCAAGGACCCCACGAACCCGGAGAGTGCAGTGCCTGGGCTGAGCTGAAATCAGGTTCAGGGCCGTTAAGGTCCTGTAGAAGGGTTCATAGCCGACAGCTTCTGACCAAGGCCTGGTTGTATATGATCTTGATCTCTGTTACCCTGGCCGTGGCCGCTATTCCAGAAGGAATTCCTCTTTGTGTGACCATCTCTTTGCGACTTGGCTGGCTTCGGATTCGGGGAGGGGGGAGGAGTGGCAATGCACAGGCATAGGGCAGACCTTGCCGGCTCGTGGCACATCTCGTCAAAGTCAAGCCCAGGTCCATCGGCTGTTCTGCTGCTTGCTCGCACAAGAGATCTTGTCCAGCTTTCAGGCTGAGGTCAAGTGATGCTCTCGTTTGTTTTTTTTCGGGAAATCGACGAAGCCCAAGCCCCCGAGAGATGCAGTGCTAGCTGAGGAAATGGTCTCGCCCTCAGCTCCAAGAGCTCCAACTTTTGATCCGCCATCTGCTCTTAGCTCTTTGTGAGGTCGAGCAGGAGGTGTTGGTCCGAAAGATTGCGGCCGTGGAGACCCTGGGCTCTGCTTCCGTGATCTGCAGTGACAAGACGGGGACGCTGACGGAAGGCAGGCTCTGATAGGCTATAGGCTCTGCCTTCTGAAGCAGCCTGCTCTACCTGCTCTTTGCAGGAAAGATGACGATGGTGGGCATGTATGCTGCAGGCGTCACCTACGAGGTCACCGGCAAGGGCTTCGACCCTGAGGCCCTGCAACGTGAGCCTCCCGTGGCGGCCATGACATGGCAGAGCCTGGGGGCAGTCGAGAGTCACGGAGTTTCGCAGGTGGGTCAAGTGCAGCGCTTGGGATCCACATCGAACGCTGGCCAAGACATGGGCAGCTCGGCTAGTAGAGGGTTCAGCAGCATACCGTCCTGTGTGTGTGTGCGCACGGAGCGTATCGAACGAAGCTGCGTTGCTCAGGTGTGAAGAGCAACCTGCTGACAGCGGCTAAGTAGCAACAATTTGCCCTCTGCCGGAGCACCTGCTGCAGTGACTTGCTGACAGCAGTGACGCAGGCTATTCTGTGCTGCAACACGACCCTCTCAAAAGAGAAGGATGAGGAAGGTGTCCTCAAGTGGACCCCGAAGGCCAAGCAGGGAAGTGAATGCGAAAGGGACCTTTCTTCCTCTCCTCTATGGTCAGTAGGATTAACAGTAAGCATGTCATACCTAGCAGCCTACACGCAGGCATATTATTCGCAACCAAATTCGATGATCAAAATTCTCCAAAGATCTCCACATGTAGCCAGGGAGCATGATGGGGCATCGTTCAAGGCAGTCTTCGCAGACAGGGGTCTCTACTTAGTCGCCTCTCTGAGCATCGGCCGCTCTCTCGAAGCCTGGCAGCCTTCCCCTGTCGTGCCGCAGGGAAACTCCTCTGAGGCGCCCATTGTGGTAGCAGCCCGGAAGGTTCGGAGCAGTCGAGACGTCTAGCATGGCGAGAGTGAGTGCCAGCCTTGGGCAGGTTGGCCTCTCCGAAACCATTGCCCGTCCACCGGATTGCGATCAAGGGGAAATGGGGACACACATAAGACATCTTTGTGACACCACCCCTGGATCGGGTCCTGTCCTGTCCCAGGCGAATATCCTCGAGCGCTGGAAGTACCATTCTCATCATCGCGAAAGATGATGTTGCGCACCTTCAGTTTTGGGGTTTGGGAATTTCTTGTTCTCTTGAGTTCTATCCGGGTCTGCCCGGCTTGCACTGCTCTGACCTCTGGCCTCTGGCAGCTGCTTGTAAGCGCTGGTTTGCACTGCTCTGTAAGCGCTGGTCGCCAGAGGGCCTTCCTTCGTCGCAACAGGAGTAGAGACGGCAGCTGTGTTCTTGCGATTTCAAGAGCGTGCGTCCTGTACCCTGTCGCAGCTGAGGCTCACCGTTTCGAAGGTCAAGGGCACAGAGCTTTGCGCGGGTGGCATGCCGCTGCCTGCAGGACAGGGCCAGCCGGCCCTCCGCAAATGCTCAGCACATCTCGCCAGCTGCGTGAGCTTGCAGGAACTCAGTATCTGACTGTTTGCAAGGGCGCCGGGAGCAAAGATGTCGGTTGAACGAAGAAGACTCTTGGAAAAGTGCCAGCATTGCCCCTAGGCTCCCAACTACATTGTGGAACTCTGCAAAGAGCAGCTGAAAGAAGATGGAAGCAACCCGTCTGAGTGCATGGGGACATAAAACACCGCGGAGCATCGGCCGGAATCCCAAGACGACTGCAAACCTGCCAGCATCTGCCAGCCCTGGCAGGCGTGGGAAAGATGACCGAAGAGGACAAGAAGAAGATCTACGAGGTTGTGGATGGCGACTGGGCGTATGAGAACCACAACATATCTCATGTACAGCACTGTTCTCAGAGCGCCAGAAGTCTGCGTCGAAGCCCAAGGCTACTCTGCCAAAGCTCTTCGTGTACTGGCCATTGCGGCGCGGCCTATGTCGAGCCTTCCGCAACACGGCGTTTGCCAACTCAGGGCTGGGAGCAGAGATTGTTGAGTCGGGTTCAGGCCGAAAAATGCAGGGACGGGCAGTTTGGGTGGCAATGCGGATGGACAGCTGCCCAGTCTCCAAGGTATGACGAGAGCAATGAGGATGTGCCCCAACAGCAGTCAATTTTGCGGAGGTCTTGGCATGGTAAGTCTTCTACTGAAGATCAGACCATCAGAGCATTACTTCCTGCGGGGCAAGCCACCGCACCCAGGGGTAGGTGAGCACGGACTGATTGCACCCACCAAGATCACCACGGACCAGAAGTTCGAAGCCTGCCGCAAAGAGCTGCGGCTTATCGGGCTGGTGGCCTCCATCGACCCCGAACGCTTCTCGGCAAGCCTGGCCGAGAAGCAGTTCCGAATGTGGGGGGGGCCGGTTCAGAATGAATTGGCTGCTCACTCTTGCTCGGAAGAGGTGCAGCAGACTGCTGTAGGCTCAGGGTCGGAACTGTACCCCGCTTGTCTCGGTCGGCACGCCATGTCGGTGGCAAATCAACTGCTGGGGGCAATGTGTGGCTTAGCTCAGGTGACGGCGTTCCGCAGTCGGTTCTCCAAGCACGTGGTGCAGGCGGGACTACACAAAGGAACGCAGGGAAGGGATTTTCCTTTTGAGGGGGGTGGGGGGGCAGAGTAGGCTCCTTGTTTTTTTCAAGAAAGATTTGCTACACAAAGGGGCTCGGGCTCGTGGGCATTTTGAATTATAGGCGTAGCCAGTCAACAGAAAGAGTTGAGACGCAAAAACAAGTGGTGCAGTAGACAGCAGGCATTGACTGACCACAACATGAGCCGATGCGAGTCCCGAGAGAACCAGAAGCACCCAAGAAAATCTCGTAGGAGGATGCTTCCATAGTTCCAGTCGCTCCAACATAGGACACCCTTTGTCCACATGCGTTTTGCTGTCCAGCTCGGGAGTTTCGGGCTCTCGGGAGTATGTTGTATTTTGTGCGAGGCATAGCCAGATTCAACACTGACGTTACGAACCGACGTTTGTATCCGTCTTCACCCCATCGAGCAGTTCTTGTCCGAACCATGAGGCCGAAGACACAGAAGAGCCAATCGACCCACTTTTTTCCGCGTATTTGTACTTGTGTTTCAGAATGGCCCAGCATGCATCGAAAAGCGCAGCTGCGCTTGTTGTGCGTGCACGAGCCTAACGAGTGCTCCCCACACGACAGCCAGAATGAAATAGCTATGTTTGAGCTGCTGACTTGGAGTCAGCGCTAAGACGAAGAAGTCGTAACACAATTGAAAGCCAGCCCGAGCTACCCACGATCTGCCAGGTATCCGCGTGGTCATGATCACGGGCGACTATTTGCTTACGGCTATTGCCATCGCCAAGAACGCATCCTGGCTGCAGGAAGATCCTCGAGATTCTACTGAAGCTGGTGCGCCCATGACCCATGGCACGGCAAATCCCAAAGAAGCACTTGAAGCTTGTTGCCAAGAGGTGAACATCTTGCAGCCAGAAGATGACGAGGAAGTTTCAGCAATGGACTGTGCTCGGCTGCGTCCTGATGGTGAGTACTTGGACAACTCGGCCGCTCGGATAGAAACATTGCATCGAAGCTAGGCTTCGACAATGACTGGGCCTGCCAGGAGATGGACAAGCTGACTTCCAGCGTCCGCGTTTTCGCCCGTGCCAAGCCAGAGGAGATGGGCTCTTCGATTTGCGGGGAATGTTGTGAAGCTTGAGTCCCTGTAAGCTTTTGCGGATGCTTGCCCAGGACAAGCTGGAGATCGTCAAGAGCATTCAGCGTCAAGGCCGTCGCGAGAGATGTCACGCTTGGTAGGAGGGTCTGCTCTGACAGTTTGTTCTACCTAGGGGAGACTGTGCCGTTCATATCTCAGCCCCATGATTTGTTTGACAGGTCAAGTGGCGGCCATGACAGGAGATGGAGTCGCTCGACCACTACCGGGATTGAACAGTCTGGAAGCGCTATCGGCTTGTCCTCGAAGCCCTCCGAAGTTGAAGAACAACAGTTGGGCTGGGACTGGGAAGGTGTGGTCTGGGTGTACCACAGGCCTGCCGGCATTTGCCTCCGCCCCCTAGAATCCCTAGAATCCTAGAACAACCAGGCAGCAGGCGACATTGCCACCCACGGCCCTCGCCGAGGTCAACGACGCGCCAGCTCTCAACCAGGCAGACATTGGCGTGGCCATGGGCATCCAAGGTACAGAGGTGGCTTGACAGTCGAGGATTGCCGTCATCAATGGCTGTTCCTGGCATGATCTTGCACAAGCGCCGGCTTGTCGTCAGGTTGCCAAGGGTGCTTCCGACATGTGCCACGGCAGTGTTATTGCAGGAAGTTTTCGAGAGACGCCTGCAAGTTGGCAGAGTCGTATTCTGGAGCCCTCTGTCTCCCAACATGTCGTCCCATCGACTTGGGACTTGCAGGGTCTTGACAGACGACAACTTCTGTTCCATCGTGAAAGCAGCGACTTGGCAAAACTGCCCGCCCCATGCGTCTTTCATCCGGCGGAGCAGTGGCAGTTCAATCGTTTGAGGTCGAGAAGGGCCGTTCCATCTACTCTGGCATCCAGAAGTTCGTGGCGTTTATCATGTCCGTGCACATTGCCGAGGTCGGCTGCAGAGTTGCGAAGTGTGCCCATTCCGCCGCATCTTTCCTGCGAGCTGAGGTGATGCAAATCTTCCTGTGCATCGTGGTTGGAATCCCCGTGGACCTGCCTGTTCTTGCAAACATGGCCCCTCTAGCTCATGCTGTTTGATTCGCGGCATACGTGCACAGCACTTCATAGTTTACCCGAAGAAATCCTTTCCGATATACTTCGTACTACAATAGCGCGCGCCCCAAAGCTCCGTATTGCACTCTCATTGTGAAGTGGCACGGCAGGTGATGCGCACACCTCTGCAGATCCTTTTCCTGATTCTTGTCACCGACTTGCCTCCTTCGATTGCTCTCGGTATGGAGCCAGGCCCAGAACAGCAGGACATTCATGGGGTTTGTAATGGGGATTCGTGGGGTTTCGCGGAAGGTTTATGTCGACGGGGGCCACTTCAGTGGGGAAGTGATTCTGGAACTGCTTGGTGCTGACAACTTATTGCAGTGTCTTGTAAACTAGAGGGCTGATACATATGCGACTGCCTCGGCTGGCGCGCTGGCGAAACCCCATTACGTTTACACGGATTGGCTTGACCGTAGTAAGCGAGTGGCTTTGGAAAGCCGCTATTTAGTTTTGATCTGTAAAACAAGCAGCTGGTGAGGAAGCCGTGTGGGTCTAGGAAGGCTAATTACTCGGGCTGAGTTGGTGAGGGATTCTCAGCTGCTCTCTCCTACCCATTTCTGGACGCATCATGCTGATGGCAGTGGCCATGATTCTTGTGCATGTACAATATATATATATATATACACACACACACATATATATATATATATTGTATTATATTACATTCTATTTTATTGTATTATATTATATTAGATCATTGTATATTATATTATAGCTCTCCGCGCCAAGCTTGAGATGCCTTTTGTTTGCCCGGGCGGACAGGTCAACCTGCCTCTGCTGACAAGCTTAGGCTTAAGCGTGCATCGCAGATGGATTAGATGTTTGTTACGTTTTGAATAAGTGTGCGAATGCTGCATGATTTACAGTACAAACTGTGCGAGAACATGTTATTATCAGCCGTTTTGTGGCGATTGTTGTTTCTCCGACACGAATGCAAGGTTGATTTTTCCGTAGTCTTTGTCTTGCCGCTGTTGCTTTCATTCATGATTGCCTGCACTACCCGTGACGGTCACGACGGCTCTTGCTATCATTTTGCCTTTTACTCGTCCTCGCAGTGCCGTATCCAGGCGATGCTTTTGTTGTTAGAGGTTGCTTTCCTTATGACAGGCGAGGCCGACATCTTGGAGCAGCGCCCGCGACCAAAGGCGGGCCGCTTGCATTGACAGAGCTATCTCGAGTTGTCATCATGGTCGTTGTCCTTCCAGACATTCGAGCTCCCCTGACAGCCACGGTCGGAGATTTCGAAGTGGTGACATCCCGTTCAGGAAGAGCCCATTGTCCTCAACTGGAGACTCGGACACTGCAAGAAACGACAGCAGAAAAGTGTTGTTTTGATTTCAGTACAGAGTCCAAATAGAAGCTCTGAGAAGCTTGCAATGCTCGAAAAGGATGTGGTTGGCCATGGTCATGAACGGAGGTGTTTTGACAGCGGCTCGCCTGGATAAGCCGCCAGCAGCAGCAGTTCATGTGATAATGCGCGCGGCCGAACACTCACGGCTGCTAGCCTTTGCATATCTGCATCTGTGAGCATTGCAAGTTCTTCGGAGTTGGGTCCACTTCCAACTGCACTCAGCTTGTCATCGTGGGCGTCTACCTCGTCTCCCTCATCAACTACTGCGAGGGTGAGATTCTTCAGGCAAACATCGGCCAACTCGAAGGCACTGTCGCTGAGCCGGGGAAGTGGGATAAGCACCTGGTTTAGATGGATTTATTTAGAGCATCTGCTCATAGTGAACAAGGTTGCAAACTTCAGGTGCGAGCCAGACGCACGCCAGACTTGACTAGTTGATCTAGTTGTAGGGAGGAGGGTGCGACGCCACCTCCATGCGTCCACAGGCAAACTAATGATGCTACAGGTTTCCTCTCACATGGCAGGGATCTATGCCCACAAAATAATGCGACATGGGTGGGTAGGTTTGTGGGTGGATGCGTGTCTGCATGCGTGCAGGTGTGCCGGTGTTTCATGGTGCCATTTTCCTCACACGTAACCTTCTGTAGAACGGGATCCGCCTCTTCGCGCTTCAGTAGGCATCTGAGTCGTGACCCTTCTAAACCTCCAAGCCCCTGCCGCCCAGACTTCGAGATGAAGCGACCTGGCTTGAACGTAGCTGCTAGCTTCGGTCCGGATGTTTCCTTCCTAACTCAAGGCCCTCGCGTCGGGAATCTGCCATAATTGAGGCTGAGCAAAGCGCAGACCGTGGCCTTCATCTCCTTGGTGTGGTCGCCCGCTTCGGTAATCAAGTGGCCGGAGCTGCCTGACACCCTGAAAAGCGGCTGCTTTGGACACATGACCTCAGGTCCGAGAACATCCGGGCCTATATCTCGCGATCTTTCACAAACCACATGTGGAAGGATATTTTCGGGAACAAGCACATGCAGAAGGTCGGGCCAGATCTCGTGGGACCAGAGCCCAGTGCCACGTGGATGGACTGTGGCAGGCCATTGTCTTGGCGCAGATCTGCCTCTATGCAGTGCCGCCATCGAGTGCTTGTAACGTCCGACTTTGCATATCTGTCTGCAGATCTGATGCCAGGCAGTGTTGACTCCCTATCTCTCCGACAAAATCCTCGGCCTCCGTGGCTTGGAGATTGGCCCGAGCCTCAGAGGATCTCAGGAGGCTACCAGCGGCTACCAGATGCCACTTGGCCTCCAAGGTCGACTCGCCGATTGCAACGTTCTTAACTGTGTTTTTCTGCCCAGGCGTGTTCGGATGGGTGCTGGCGATCGCCGGCCCTGTGGGCTGCTTCATCCTCTCAGAGGGGTGCAAGATCATCAGTCGGGGGCCCCACAGCGTAAAGCAGATGGCAAAGACAGACCGCTAGGACAAAACTGCCTTATCTCACGGGCTGATAGGTGCCTACCAGCTGAAGCAGTACCAGGCTCGATTGTCCCAGACAAGCATCTTGCGGCATTCCATGCCGACTCTTGGAAGTACGGGTCAGCTGTTTCTAAGCTGGCCCAGTTGCGGAGATTCCTTGCCGGTCGGCTGCTTCGCCTGTTCTTTGCTCCAGGATTTCCTGGCAGCAAAGTTCGAAGCCTCGAAGGCGAAGGATTCCGGAAGACCGATGAAGGCTCCTCTCCAAGTGCAAGTCAGCAGCCGTCTCTTTTCTGTAGCCCTTCTCCGGCTGCAGGCCTCCGCGCTGAAGACCAAGCCGCCGGGCGGCAGACGACGGCTTGAGACGAACTCTTCTAAATGGCATGAACAACCATCTCGCCGACTCAGGAAGACGATGGAAACACCGGAAAAGTCCGCCAAGAAGGGCTGGTGCTGTTGGGTTACTTGACCTGCAGACATCATATACAGTACATAACGCAGAGCCCTGGCAAGTGGACACACGGGCCGTTCTTTGCCTAGCAGCCATGCTGCACAAGACCCAGGCCTGGTTCTGATGGGCGTCGCACAGCGGGCTTCCAGCCGTGCTTCTTTCAGGCACCGGCTGTTTGATGAGCCTTGCCATCATCAGCAGTGCTTCATTTTGCTTTGCCCGTCTTGGCAGGAGCAAACACCACTTATCTTCTCTGTCCACCTCATGTGGGCTCGGTGTTCACTTGTAGGCATATGCCAGCAAAAAGCCCGTGAAATAATCTCAGACACGACAGTAGTGTGTCTATGCTCCGCGCGGTGCGTAGTTTCAGATGGGCGCTTTTAGTGTCTGGCGACTTTGAACAGCTGCCAGAGAGCAAATGCCTCTGGCGATGCTTTGTCATCGTGGGTTGAGTTTTTTCGAATCCGCTTTGTCTTCCACCTTGCCGAGACAGCCAGGTGGTCTGCGCCCCTGCCAGATCGCTGTAGTGTCTGCACTGACATTTGAATTTAGAGCCGAACTGTGGAGACTTGAGACTTGACCTGACGGGCCCAACTTCAGATCCAATCGGACCCGAGAGCAGCTGCGCAAAGACATGTGGTCATGGACGAACGGTCAATAGTACTTTGGACAACACGATGATCCAACGGTCTCCACTCTGCGGTTCGTTGAAGATTCCCGGCTGGTTGCTAAGCACTTGCCTGATACTCTAAGATGGCGGCTTCAGGACGACCAGACGAAAAACACTTCATGGTGCCTTGCGTCGTGATGATGAAGCCGCACTCTTTATCTGCTTCTGTGTGCCTCCCTGTCGCATTGCATGGCTGTCGCTAAGCACACAGCCACTTGCGATGGGCTCGGTTGTATCCACCGGTGCCCTAGATTAACTCGATATTGCTTGCTGACGCCAAAATAGGATGCGCCCATCACTCCAACCCTTCCGGTGGCTCGGTCGAGGCTACACACCAAGTCGCCAGTTGATTCATGCTGATTCCTGCAGATGTCTTGTTCGAACCTTTGCACCGTGTGCCCAAGAAACTTGACTGCTGCTTCAGGTTGCAGGAGAATCATTCCTCGCAAAGCCTGCGCAGCATAGTCGGACAGATGAACCAACTGGCCCTCTCAAGTTATGCTGTGAAGCCGGTCGCCTTATCGCTGCTCGTCCAATTCCAATATGCAAAGGGCTAGGACAAGGATGCACTCGACAGTGAGGGACGCAACTTGCTCTTCACATCTTCAATGTGTTGACAGCGTGACGTGGCTGCTTTAGAGGATCGCACCAGTGTGTTTGCTGCGCGAGCCTCGCGCAGCATGGTTCCGTGATGAAGCTGTCTTACCTTCGCTGACGGACATCGCGCGAGGGGAACCGCGAGGAAAAATGGAAGCGTAAAGCCGTGGAGGTCGTGGAGGGTACACAGCATCGAAAGTATTCCAGGGACACAAGAGGAAGCACCATGAAAGCACATGCAACAGCACTTCGCATTCTGTCTCTCTGATCATGTCTGCACTTCACGCACCAAGATCCTGATTGCCTCGCTGGCCGGCGGTTCTGTCAAACCCGGACATGATGCGAAGCAGATACCTGTCTGCATCAGCAAGCTTCTTGATGTTGAGGGTCCTGTCTACTGAACGGAGGATAACGAAGGCAAAGTCGACGCCATATTAAAATCCTATGCCCTATGCAGCACTCTAAGGCTTTGCCGTGAACGCATGCCCAAGGTGGCTGGGTGGCTTGAGCCGTGCACGAGTTACAGAAGAAAAGTCGACTCCCATTCTTCTGCATGGGTTGTCTGGTAGGGGCCTTGTGAAGTGCAGCGATTCAAGTCGCAAAAAGTTGATTGATCCTGCAGCCCATTGGCTCATGACCAATGAGCGGGCACGGGGCCCGGCCGGTGCAAGAGCCGGGTACGGAGCTCGAAGATCCGACTCTGTGACGTCTCCGTGCACATCAGACCACCTAACATGGAGCACATTCGCCCAGTAGCATGACTGCTTCTTTCGTAGGCCCCGAGACAAACAACCGTGAGGCCGGCGATAGTTGATGTCCTCATCTGCACGGCTGAAGTACCGGATCGTCAAATGCACCTCTGAGGCCATGAACAGTCGTTCCGCTTCAATAAATGTGCTGTTTCTGGGCACAGCACGGCCTTGGAGTTTGGTGTTGCAGGACCCCGAGTACCCAGCGTCCGAGCTCCTGACGCATTCATCCCAGACCAAGGGATGGCAGACTGCTCGCTTCTGCGACTTCCCGCAGGAGCTGATAATGGAAGATGCGTGGAAATCCTTTAGGGATTTTAGAGCTGAGTGGGGAGTCACGGACACCTGATGCCGCCTCAGGAGATAGGGCTGCAGTTCGAGACGCCAGTTCACTTGCGGCAGGCAGAAGTGGCAGTTGTTTTGTGTGCGAGGTGCTATCACCGCTTTAAGCTAGGCACTCGCCCAAGCCTTGCAGCTCTTCTGCTCAAAATCGTTCTGGCCTGCCCATACTTACAGATCGCTTGACAAGCTCGAAGCAGCAGGCAAGTTGAAACTCGTGCATGTGAACAACAGCAACTCGTGGCAAAGTTTGCAATGGCAGATGAGCCTGAGCCCCCCATTCGTTGAGGAGCTCATCCCCTACGACCCGGATGAATTTGACTTCGTGTCAAACGTTCAGGACATACTGGAGCCTCCAGAGGCACACATCGGAGACCTGGAGCAAGCAGAGGGGGAGGGTGCGCTCGCGACCCTGGGCCAGATTCATCGATGGTTTCCACGCAGCGGCAAGAGACGGCCGCGCATGCGCTGCCAACTTGTGCACGCTGACTTCATAGAAACCTATCATCGCTTCGTTCGCACGGTCGTGAGATCGAATCTCGAGGAGGCGGTCGTCCTGTTCGAGCGTTGTCCGAATCTGCGAATCCATTTAGCCGGTGAGAAATCCTTAACGGCTCCTCACAGGGACAAAGACCATCACCACTCAGAGGCTGAGCTGAACTTCTGGGTGCCCCTGACTCGGTGCTTTGGTGGTGCAAGCCTCTGGGTCGAGTCTATGCCGGGGAAGGGCGATTTCCATGCTCTGACTGTCGAGCCGGGCATGGCAGTGCGCTTTTATGGAAACCAGTGCCTGCATTTCACCAAAGAAAACGATACAGACCTCACCCGCGTCTCTTTCGACTTTCGGGTAGTGCGACTTCGGGACCTGGGCTGGTCACAAATACCTCATCCGGAATCTCCAGAAGCAGCGCGATGGATGATTTTTTCGTACTATGATGTCATGGGTGCCGACGGTCATGTTCTCAGCCCGCACGAGTGGGCCAGCCAAGTGGCACCGTGCCTGCCCGATCTGTCAACACCAGCTGGAAATCAATATCACCAGCCACCTCGGCCAAGCAGCTGCCGCCAGCGCTCGCAGTCGCCAGAGCACCTCAAAAACTGCGAGGCAAAGTGGGGATCTGCGAGACAAGCGAGGAAAAACTGCGCGCGCTGTGGCTGGCTGGCCAACCGGGCACAGCTTGAAAAAGTCCTTTGCTACATGGATTCCAGTGGCATCACAAGGCCGTGGGTTGCGGAGAATCCGGACAGCTACCAACCGTGGGGTTTGGGATGTCTCCTCTGTCATCGAGCCTTTCTGGCGGGGCCGAAGGACAAAAGTACTCCCTGGCCTGCTAAATCCGCTTTCACAGACTTCACGTATGGGCTTGGAATGCCAGGGCTCCTGCAGCAGCCCCTGTATCGGCATGGTAATCATGCCCGACTCCAGGCCACTGGTCGCAGTCAAACACAGCTGGTGCTTCCACAGAACCCGGAGCATGCAGCCGCAGCCCAGACTTGTCGATGACATCGGAATGCTTCGGGACGCAGACCGACGTGTGGTCAGGCGCCGCTGTGCAGAATTTCGAGGAAGGCGGCTTCATTACGAGGGTGAAGCCGGTACCCGGAACCACTGGGGATGAAGATACCGAGCGGTCCAGCTTGTCGGAGGGATGCAGCAGAAAGGGCGTGTTGATAGCAGCCATTTTGCTTGAACTCTGTTGCCTCAAAGGCAACCCTGCCCGAAAGTCCAGCCTCTTGACACGCAGGTGCAGTTCTTGTCTCATCAGAGCAAGTGTTTCAGCTGCACCGAGCTTTGCAAGCTGGGGGATGGGTCCGGGATTTATTGAACACTGAGGGTTTCCATTGTGTCCAATCATCTCCAACTGTAGCTTGCAAACCAAGGATAGCGACGAAGATCGACCTCTACACCGCGATGCCTGCAGCAGGCAAGGTCGAATCGGGTTTGGCCGGATCAAAACTCAGCACGCCTTGTTGAGGCCAAGCCTCCACCTACGATGCTTTGAGCTTTAAAAGGCATGGCAAAACTGAGTCAGATGGGCACAGCACCTTTCCCAGACCGGACCTGCGCAGGTTAGGCTACCTGTCGCTGGATAGTAATGAGCGCTCCCAGTTTCAAGCTCGGGAGCTCAAAAGTGTTCCTCGGCTGCATACGAGGAACACATGTTCACCGTTTGTGTCTGGCTGGTGGCCCCTTGTCTCAGGTGTATGTTGATGCGGCATCCTCAGCAGGCTTTCCGAGTACAAATACAGTAGAAGGCAGGTAGCTATAGCGGTAGGACCGGTGGGACATCATGTCAGGAATGCCGTGCTGAATGAGGTTTCTGCACAATACATGAAGATCTTGTTTCACAAGTGCCCCCGACATGTTTCACGCATCAGACCGCTATGTAACGAGTGAAGAAGATGTGGGCTCCTCTTGCAGGTGCCATGTGAACCGGTACAACATCGTGAACCAGGCTCCAACATGCTCCAGGCAGGTAGACACCGGTAGAGCCTTTGCGTTCAGGTTGGCCTCATAGCGCTGAACTGCTTGGGCGAGGCATTAGGGCTCCTTGGACCGAATGTGCGACATCGGTGAATCGGTAATATGGGTCGGCAGAGGCTAGAATCCTAGAAGTGGCAGCGTTCATCTACTGATTTGCTTGAGCTGCAGATGCAACACTCGTTTCTAAACAGCTTTTTGCGGTCTGACAGTTGGATTAGTCATGAGTCTAAAGTTGCGATCAAGGAACACTGGACGAACAAAATTACAATGGCCTGCCTGCTTTGGCTTCGGCACAAGACAGCACAGCCCGAAACCGAACAGTTGTCCACCTCGTTCATGCGAGAGGGAAAAAACAGTTGTCCAGCCATGTCGCCGCATCAGATCATCCTGCCGTGCTCCTGCCATAGCCGGACTTAACACAGTGCGATGGGCGACGTGGGGTATGCAGAGTCGTCTGCAGCCAAGGCATCCTTAGAGGCAAAGGCCAAAAAGCAAACTGGTGCGCTGCAAAACATGGCACCAGGTGAAAAGTCGTTTCTGCGAGCATGATTGCGGCCGCCCACTACTATTCTCCAAGAACACTTGCCTCATCCAGGAAACCGAAGCGATCGGCTTGCTGCAGAGCCCTTCAACGCCCGCCGCAAGGATGACGATAGCAAGAAGGAGGATGACAAGGATGGTGGCAGGCGCAAGAACCATGACAAGGATGGAGGTCGCCGCCGCAAGGATGACGATGGCAAGAAGAGGGCTTTTTGAACATCCTCATTGTTTCAGTTTTGCCCACCACCTCGTCCTGTGCATCAGCCGAGTGCTTGTAATGCTCGCATCCGTGGCTTCGCTCGAGCCCAAATGTCGGAACAATGGTAGAGGAGGACAGGGACGTAAAAAGAATCAGTCTAAGTGGTGCTTAACAACGTAGTGGTGCGTTTAGCTTCACGACATGGCTTCGTGAAAATACAGCTGCCTTTACGCCGGAGCTATGCCCGGCTGGGCAGGGCGGCGTGTTTGAGAATTCGGACAGCATCCATCTCACATTTGGCAAGTTGCCTTCCAAAAAGCCATGATTACCATGATATGGACACACTAATCAAGGTCATGTTCACGACAGCGTTCTCCCAGCATTCCCCTTCTGAAAGAGACCCTACGGCAGACCGAGGCCTGACCTGGCGATGGGACCCCCGCCTCCCAACCCAGCGCTGGCGCGAGGGCCGGCACCTTTGGTTAGGTCCGGAGATCCGCTGACAGGGTTTAGTCATCAAGTCCGGTTTCAAAAGGGTTTAGGACGATTCTTCATGGCCCAGCTCAGGCCAACGAATGGCTACCAGCCACCGCAAGCATCTTCGCCTCCGCCACCACAGCCGTCGGTGCAGGACGTGCTTGGACGGCCATGGGCTATCCGAACATCTTCTATGCGATCTGTGTCAAGCGCAACTGCTACGGAGCAGCAGAAGAGTTTGAATGTGCGCGAGCTGCAGCCACTGGGTAAATGCCTTGTTTAAGTCTTTTGCACAAATCTGCGCAAATGCACAAGAATCGCGGTTGAGGGCGATCGGGCGTGCTTGCCACAGGCAGCGTGACAGGTCACATAGGTGATTTTCGACTTGAGTGCAGTGAAAGGGGGCTCGCCCACAACCTAGCAGTCATGCACGTGCAGGATTCCGCACAGGCTGCGGCAGATGAAATGCGCCTTGGCATCTGAAGACCTCCAACAATCAGTGTGGGATCTTTTGCCGACCCAGTGACAAGAGTGGCAGGTGTTTCAAAAAATCCTGACTAATTTTCTGCCTCCCTCTTGAGTTGCCAATCTTGGCTTCATTACGATACTGATCTTCAGTCCCTTAGAACTAGGATGAGGAGACGAGAGGTAGCTTTGTAATGCGGTCCTCAGGCGATACGATGGTCAGACATTGGAGCGAATCCGCTCTTTGTCGAACGCGAAGGCCGTGCCTGAAAACCTAATGCCTTGTGTGGAGCCTTGCTTGCCTTGTGCGAGAGTGAGAGTCGAGCTCGTGTGCATGTGAGGTATAGCACGGGCTTCAGGGTGGTGGCATCCAGACACACTCCGCTTGCCAGTGTTCCGAAGTCGCCCGCAAGGCGAGGGCCGTTGATGCCGAGGACTACGAGGAGGCGAAGCGTTGCAAAGAGATGCTGGCCAGGCCGGACAAACCCCGGTGAGGAGAAGTTACGTTTGACTTCATGTAATGTTGCACAGCATCTACATGAACACAAAAATACTCGTACAGACCTGCCTACACCCACACACACACGCACACACGCATACATGTATACCTACATACACGCATACATACACACATACACACATACACACATACACACATACACACATACACACATACACACATACACACACATACACACACATACACACACATACACACACATACACATACACACATACACACCTACACACATACACACATACACACATACACACATACACACATACACACACATACACACATACATACTACATACATACATACATACATACATACATACATACATACATACATACATACACACACAATCATACATGCATACATGGCATGCATGCATGCGTGCATGCGTCCATGCGTATATGCACATTATTAGGCATACATACCACCTGCACGTGTACAGATACATGCGTACATATGTGCACACGCACACAAAGAGTTTCCATTGAGCACACGCCGTGTGTAAGGCTGCGCCAGACCGGCCTCCTGCTCCGAGAGCTGGAGGCCTCGGCTAGCACTCCATGGCTTTTTTCCTTGTGGAAAGTTTTGTTCCAGAGGACCGGAAGAAGGCAGCGGTACAAAATGAAGATTACGATGCCGCCAAAGCTCTGAAAAGCGAGATCGATCGGCTTCGCAGCTGGACTGCAGTCTAGCCTGAACTTGGAAACTGAGCGGCCAGCACCGGGCCTTGCCAGGTAGTGCAATCGAGCGGCCAGAGGTACGGGCCGAGCGACCGCATTCCGGAAGGACTTGCGGCCTTGCCTTTGCTACTCTTGCGAACGCCAAGCACTGCCGAGAGCATGGAGGAGTGCGCGCAGCAACAGCCTCGGGCCAAACAGCCGCGTTGGCCCCAGTTGACGGACAAGCTTCAACATGGCTACCACTAGCCACTCATTAGCCAGCCTGAAAGAAGCCATTGCCAGGTGCCGGTGCCGGAAGCCCCGATTTCGCCAGCCACCACAGTGCGCCTCGTGGTGGACACCAGCCACAAATGGTTCCGCTGAGTCAAGACAGCGAGGCGGGATCTTCAGTCCGCACGGTTTGTGCAGTCGTGGAATGTGTTCAGAAATACATGTGACTCCGATTTGACAGCGCGAGGCAGTGATGCAAGCACCACCTTCTCGTGGCAAGCGCTCACCCTCTCCGAGTCTGCCGGCTTTCCCGTTGGAGGTGCCAAAGGGCCAAGCTCCACCGGCCCCGCCTTTTGTTCTGACGTCTGTGGCCAGGAGGGCTACCAGGCCGAAGTCCCGAGACGAGAGGCGAGTTCGACACAGCCACAGCCACAAATCATGCGCTTGCATGCGGTTGGGACCGGGGTAGATGCTCTTGGAACAGCTATTCATGCGTAGGCGGCCAACTCTCCGCCTTTGCCTGCGGCGGGCGGGGCGCGAGTGGCACGAACTCCACCCCTGTCCGGTATGGCCTCTGCACGGAGCGTGGCCCGGAAAGTCTTATGGGGTTACGGTTAAATATGGTTCCTAGCGGACCCGGTCCTGCAATGCAGGAGTCTAGGGCGGGCAAGTCGTCTTTAGCTTGGCGACTGCAAGCGTAACGAGAAAAGGCAGGGGTGGTGAAATGCCGCGTGACACAGCAGCGACATTTCCCGAGGCTCCTAAGGAGCTGCCACCGGAGCAGCCGCCGCTGTCTGAGCGCGGCTTTGATGCAGCTGACCATCCACTGAGCGGCGTGCCTAATGTGGAGGTGCCATTCCACCACTAATCGAAAGTAATATGGTACTGGAGTCATCCGTTTCTGCAGGACCTCAGCCAGCCCGAGCCGCTGAACAGCAACTTCCAAAAGGAAGCGGAGCCGCTCATCCAGCTGTTCGGCGAGTACCTCACGAACTGTGTCTATTCGAAGGACTGACCTCAGACCTCCTGGAATGTCTGCGCACGCGTCGGGGGGTCGGCACCACAGGCATGGAGCTTGCGCGATGCCGCGCTGCAGAAGCTAACGCTGGATTTGCAAAACGGCGAGCACCAGCCTCCTGGTTGGACCTGCTTGGATGCCAGCGGGCAGCACGGAGAGGACTTGCTGACAGCGCCAAGGTCGACGGATCAAAGCCGGCTGCTTGCGGGCTACGTGATCGTGCTGAAGAGGATGGTGCCGGACAAGAATGTTCAGGTCGAAGTCGAAGCGGAATGTCTGACAGCAGCAACTGCCACCGTTTGTCACGAGGTGTTCCTTGCTGCAGCGGCGCTGCTGCACACGGTTTGCCAGGCCAGTGATCCACAAAGTATGCGGGCTGCGGGCTTGCAATTTGCTTCAAGGAACTTTTGGGCCGCTCCGGGCCCAGGCGTGCGGAGGCCAGGCCAGGGACAGAGAAGCTCAAACGCCGGGCAGCAAGGTGCACTTGCTCACAACTGCAGAACCAGAACGAACATGCAAGCGGTGATGCTGAAGATCTGTATCAGGGTGTGTCTGTTTTGTTGTGCAGAGGCCGTAAGCCTATGCTTGGCTATTGTCTGGCTCCATTTTAGTTTTATGTGGCAAGCACAGGGAGTAAGAGCAAGTCTAGCGGTCTCTGATTGCTCCGCAGGCTCATTCTGCTTTGGACCCCTTGATGCCATTATTGGTGGATCGCTTGGGAGACAGCAACGCGCTGTTCTTAGACAGCTTGATGAGGGTTATGGGGCATGCATCATGCAAGAGACTGCTGCCGATCTGCGCTGGCACATACTGGCACTGTCATGGGAGGGCCCAGCGGCTTGCATGGAGCTACTGTACTGTATGTGCCGCAGCATGTTGGCCAGAAGCACATAAGGCTTAAGGGCTTTGCAGTTTCGGTGGAGCGGAATGGCGCCTGCTGGGCTGGGCTGAGGGTTCACCGTGCATGGAAGGACCTTTGCCCGTGGGACGTTTTCAGCGACGCAGCCGGCGGCGTGGGGGAGCCTCTTATGTTTTCATGAAGTGGCCTCGGGCGAAATGTACCCCCCCCTAATAAGACGACGTACTCGATGCAACTTCACCACGTAAATTTTCTCGCAGGTGGCTAGTGGAAACCTTTGGGACAGACTTCCTCCGCGGTGGCTCAGGCCACCTGCACAGATTGCCGTTGTTCCGGTGGTCGGTCCGAGGGTATAGTTCACTGCAGTTTGCACTTCGATGCATCTGTCCTCTCAAGGTGTTCTGGAAATCTCAGCTGGCAAAGGCGAGCTCGCATGTTCCCTTCGCAACCGCCGCGTGGCTTTCAATTGCGGTGTCGCACGCTTGATTGCCGGGCAGTCGGGTTCAAAAGCCGAGAGCCGGTCAGGATACGGCGTTCCTGTCACAGCCGTGGAGCCACGCTCCCTGGACCTCCGGAAATGCCGGGCGCCCTGCGCAGAGACAAAGCTCAGTAAAAGCATGGTGTCAGTGACAGTGTGCATCCACGTGAAGACATTTACATCTGTATAGACATACTTTACATGCATGTATACAGACACACAAACTAAAAGTCATATCATGTCACATCTAGAATATGTTGTATGTATGGTACATAATTATGTATGCAAGCATACATGCAGGCATACATATATACATACATACATACACACACACACACACATATATATATATATATATTATACACATCATATATATATATATATACGCATATGTGTATATATATATATACACATACATATATACATACATATATTCAAAAAATATAAACATACACATACACATACACATACACATACACATACACATACACACATACATACATACATACATACATACATACATACATACATACATACATCTATATATATATATATGTGTTAACACATATACACATACGTACATACATACATACATACATACATGCATGCATGCATGCATGCATGCATGCATGCATGCATGCATATACACACATACATCCATACGACGCAGTCACTGACACAGACGCAGACACACAGGCACAAGCACAAACAACACGTGTATACTGGCGTATGCATGCCTGGGGCTTTGGATTGGCCTGCTGTTGGCCTCTTGTGCTGAGGCCATCAGCGGCTCAAGTGGTCGCAGGAGTCGGCGGCGTCGCGAGGCGGATCCCAGCACAGCACGCCGCTCTTTGTCCTTCGTTTGCGGCACAGGTGTCGACACACTCAGCACACTTGACGCACCTGCGCTCCCGTGTGCTCTCCACTGCAGTCAGCTTGCGGATGAGAGGCCACGGCCACAGTTGCTACGTTTTGAGGTTGTCGCAGCCCACGGATTGTTGCGCCCCGCCACCTACGGATTTTTTGGCATACAGGGGTGTGGAAGGCTGGGAGTTGCCAAGTTAGCGGAGAAAAGTCGTGACGAATGATACACGTCTTGGCTTGTCTAGGACCGGCACTCGCTCCGCGCTGCATGGGTCGCTGCGCATGCAGCCATCCCTTCTAGTTGTACATGCTGTGTGTTTCGGCACCTACGTGGTGATGAAGATGGCCTTGGACGCACATGCTTGTGCCAGGTGCGCTGGTCTTCGCAAGGATTGACAGAGGTGGAGCTGGAGGCGGATCACGAGAAGCAGGCTCGCGCACGAGATGTCAGCGTGGCTGTGACCACACGCCGCACGCCTGTGCAAAGGAGGCCTACCTGGATAAGGGGGTGCCTTTTCGGCAGTCTACACTCTGGGCCGACTCCGATGAGCCAGGCAGTGCCGGAAACCCCTTCAAGCTGGAGACTTGACGGTCTCAGATACTCGTAGTAACCTCCCATATCGCCCGTGTGCAGCTGCGGCGGATGATGCAGAAGCGTCTCCGCTGCCGGAAGGAGGGATGGCGCCTGGGCTGCCAGCTGTAGTTGAGTGTTCCCAGAAGTCGATGTTGGGGGAGCCCGCAATGTGCCAAAACTGTTTCACATGTTTTGCGGTCGCTTCATTGTCGCCGCCTGTCAGAGCGGTGACGTCTCAGGCCTCTGAGGACCTCAAGGAAACGGAGCTGGACGAAACAGGTCGGGCTGCCCTCTTCCTCTTCGTTTACTGGTAAGCTCGCACCTTTTGGGCTCGACTTGGCACTTGGCAGCAGGCCGCGTGCTCGAGCTTGGTGGTGGCCTGAAGCCGTCTTTGGCGATGGTTCGAAGCCTCTGCACAGCTTGCAGCTGCACGGCTGAACAAGCTTACCAAAAAAGTTTTCATTTGTGCAGGCAACAGATTACAGGTTCCTTTCGCAGCTAGAACCGTTTCACCTGCTGAAGCGAAGCTGTCAAGAATGTTTCAGCAAGTTGCTTTCTACCAGCTCAGAGGTTGCGTCGTGGCGCTTCACGCAGATCAAGCAGCTGAGAGTGCTGTGCGCTTTGCTGTCGAGACGCTTTTCGGATATTTTTGGGCTTAAACTTGCAGGACCCACGCAGAGCCAGGGTTGCAGAATGGGAGGGATCAAAACCTTTCAAATCGGCAGATCTGTTTCATTGGCTCTCAGCCAAGGCATGGCCTTGCCTTTGCAGTTGTGCCCTGCTGTGTGGCCGGGCTGAGAGTTTCAGGCTTCAGGCATGACTTCGCAGACGCCAGTTTCGGTTTATGAGTCTTGGGGAGTACAGAATCCGAGGTGTACGCAGAAGACTTCCCGAAGCGACGCCTGCCCGACGGACGGCCGGTCACATCCCTCAATGCGCTGATCGAGTATTTGACCTGGTTGGGTGGCACTGATGCCAAGGCGGGGCCAAAGCAGCTCGGTGACGCATTGCAAGAACAAATTGGTCGGAAGAGCCTTCGGTCAGTTTGCAGGTTGCATCCGTACTTGTCCTGTGGCAGGTGGAAACCTTGCAGTTCAGTGGGAAAAACGTCGTCGTCTTCTCGAAGCCGAAGTGCGCGGTGACCGAAGCTTCGACACGCGCTTAGCAGGCCGACAGGCGCTTTCAGACTCGTGCTTTGCTGTGACATTCCGCGACGACGGCGTGCTCGACAGCTCGCCGATGCTCAAGCAGTCCGACGTGCAGAACAGGGCCATCAAGGTGTGGCGGTGTGGCTGGCCAGCCACAAGGTTCGGTCTGCTGCCGGCGGCTTGCCCGCACCAGGCAGCTGCTCGCAATCGAGATACAAATGCTGTCCAAAGTTCTTGCCGATGGGCCTCACGACGAAGCTGCTACCTCGTGCAGCTCAGAAATGCAATCCCCATCTTGGTTCCGGTGCAGGAAGCTGTTGAGCGGTCGCAGAAACCGCCAGCAGGCTGAAGCTTAGACTGGCAGGCGAGAGAAAAAAGCAAGTCTCAGAGCTCTTCGCTTTGTTTTGAGCACGATTCCACGGCCGAGGCTCGAGTCGACAAAGCGGCCAGGCCATGTTCCGTTTTGCTCAGTACCGGAGTCGAAGGTAGCGTGCCTCGTAGCCACTGTAGCCACGCCAGGGACGCTCACTTGTGCGACTTGATGCGTTGTGCTACGGTCGGCAGCGTGCTCAGCTCCATGGCATACCTTGGGGACTCCTCGCAAGGCATCGCGGCTTCTCGCTTAGCTGTAGCCAAGGTGCCACTTTCACGGCACAGTACCTACTCAGGTGGGCAGAGCCGATGCTTGCGTGACTTGGTGAGCGGCTTTCTGGAATGGCCAGGCCGCCCAAGAAAAAATCGGTGAACCCTCGTGTGCAGCACTCAGAGCCTCTCATTCCGGGTGCCAAAACGCAAGCATGAGCCCTCGAACTTTGGAAGAGCATGTTGCATATGTTGCCGAGTATAGAAACCGTCAGGACATTCGGTGCCAGAGTGCAAGGTCCCATTCCCTTTCAACATGGTGCATCAGGTCTACATCTCGCGGATGCAGCTGCTGACAAGTATGGTCACCGAGGCCGGCCATCAAAAGTGACCTAATCCCGACACAGTACATGGTCTGAGTGGGGCTGGGCATGAGGCAGGCATCCAGCCAGAGAGCAAGGAAGGCTTGCCTCTGGACCCCACCGTGCAGCTGGCCATGGACTGGTGCAAGGCTCAAAAAGCGCAACTGCCGGCACCGGCACACCGTCGACGAAGTTGACATCAGGGATGACCCATTCTTTCTAGCAGCTGAGGTTTAGCAATGCCAATGCTGACGTCAGGGAGAGCGCACCGAGCCCAGTCACGAAGAGATGCCGACTTTGCAACAGCACAATGAAGTTGCCGGTCAAAAAGTTAGCTTCAGGCAGTAAAGCTGGTTGCCGCTTGCTATGCGCATGCTGGCTTGCGTCGCATTGCTGCTTGGATGATTTGGTGCAACATTTGCTTCGGTGACCGTGTTGGGAATATCGCAGCACCCAGGAACAGTACCTGGCAAACCTGCGGCAGGCAGGTACTGTCGGGAGAGTGTCGGGAGAGTGTTTCCCAAAAGGGCGATGTTCTCTGTTTCATGACTCCATAAACTCCAATGCATGGAGGGCTTAGGCGACAAGCTTCATGTCTGGCTGCAGTCGAAAACCGTTGTCGGTGCATGGGTACTTCTCGATCAATTGCGACAGGCGCAGCGAGAAATCTTCGACGAAGAGTTCGACCGTGTGGATGCAGGCACATAGGGCTCCGCTTTCCATTGGTTTTGTGAGCCGTGTGCGTCTCCGGTGATGGTCTCCACGGGGCAAGCCCCCGCATGTTTCAAGGTGACGGACTCGGAGCCGGTGGCGATGATGGCTTGCAGCAAGAGACCGCAAGGAGAAGCCCTTAGCCTTAAGATTCGGCAAAATCTCCCACACTGGGGTCGGCCTCCTGAGGACACAGCGCACGGCCCGAACAGCCGGCAGCAATCGGTCGACCCCGAAAGGCTCTGTCGCCGCGTTGTGGGAGCTGCACTCTGCAAGTACGTCCCCCATACCGAAGCACCAGACCCGAAGCTCATGAATTCTCGTTGCCGTTACCGTTTCCTGACTTTTCAAGATAATTGAAGATCATCGCACGTCATAGAGAGGGCATTGACATGGACGTCGAAGCATAGCTGTCGGAACACCCCCTTGAGGGTGAAGCCTCCTGTCTCCTTGGCAGCTCGGCTCGAGATGTGACCGACCAGCAGTTGCACCGCTCCAGCGGTGAATGGCGAAGGTGAAGAAACAGAATTTGAAGAAGAAAGCAAGCCAGGCGTGCCTAGCGACAAGTGACACCTACGGCAGTGCTGCATTCGCCTTCACTCGAGCTCAGAACAGGGAAAGGCCGCTGCCAAAGGCAAGCCAGGCAAGAGCGGAGGCGCTTCGGCTGTAGTTGACCACCAGCCGAAGCCGAGACAGTGCTCCGCGAGGTGCAGGCGGAGGTGGCTCCGGCGTTCCGACCAACAAGAAGTTCGGTGGCCTGGCAGAGCTTATGCTCGTGTCTGTTTGACAGCATTCGCGGACAGGCCCATGCAGGTTGCACAGGATTCCGAGACATGGTCATATATGGTCGTTTGTCGTAGTGACAGACCTCGGTCGTGTTGACATTTTGGCTTCAAGCCGCCCTGGCAGCTACTTCCTAGAGAGGAAACGGCAACTGGCCCGTTTATCCCCTCGCTCATTGAAGCAATTTCCGTAGCAATGCAGTTGACTTTGCTCCACGCGCTTTTCTCATTGGCCGCTGCTGGGAAGTTCCATTCCCTCAGCCGGGCGACCCTGAGCGTGGACACGTCTACTTCAGTCAACGAACCTGGACATGCCTGGCAGTCTTGTTCATGCGTAGGTTGCGAAGTTGTAGCATGAGAGAGAGATAGATCACAAGTTGTGACTCTCCGAATGAGGCGAGCCACTCCACACCAGTCTCGCTTTATTCCAAGCCGCCAGCCTGTCACGAAAAGAAGGTCGTGGGCTCCGGTGACGACAAGCCGCTCGGGATTCTACAGTTTCCAGGGGATGAGAGGTTTCTGCAACGCTGCCGAACATGCTCCGAGGTTCCTGCAGTGCCCGAAGGAGTGCCCAATCTATGCCGATGACCGTGCAGATGGTGTTGACTGCAACTTCGAGTGTGTGGAAGCAACTCCGAAGGTAGCGACCAGCCAGTTTGCAAGCTGCAAGCCTCAAAGCCGTTGTCCCCATGTTAGATTTTGGAAATGCAGGCGTGCACGGCAGTGAACGCCAAAGAGCCCGTCCCTGATGCCGAGCGTGGCATCTGCCGTGCCTGCATCATCTACGGCTGCAAGACCTGCACGACGGAAGGTCAGGACACTTGCGCTACCTGCGAGTCGGGTTTCAAGCTCAATGCGGCTGGAAAGTGTGAGAGCACCAACACGCGGCTTGAGCTGTGATGAAGTGGATTTACGTAGTTCGGTCTTGTTAAGCCTTGTATTGCTTCCCCGAACCTTCATTCCTTCCGCCTTGAGGTACTACTGGTATGCGCTCTTTGCAGTGCTTGGCCTTGTGGCCGTGTTCATTGTCGGCTGGATTGTCGACATTGCTCGACGTCCCATTGTCAACGCTCAGGGGCTCAAGGGCGCGCTTGATGCGCGCTCGCGTTCCAAGGCGGGCCCGTGATTTCCAAAAGATGCCTCATCTTGCCAAAGTGCTTTGGCTTTGAAGGTGCGAATGCCCAAGCAGTTCGGCTCCGAGGAAGGACGGGATCTTTACCCTCTGGACACCAACCTCCTGAAGACGCCTGTGGCCGGCATTGGAGTGCAGCTCCACTTTAACTTCCAGCTGCTTCGATGCAGGGTCTGTTTATCGTCATTGTCATTGTCAAGACGTGTCAGCAGCAGTGGAAGTCACCTGTTCCATTCCGGTGGCCAGCCAAGGTTCTTCCTCATCGTGTGGGCGCTGGCAATCGGTTTGGCTTGGCTGATTCTCTCGCTTTCTGTGGACGATGCTCTGCTGATCCTCGGGACTCGAAGGGCTAAGACCGCCCGACAGAACTGCATTCTCGTCGACCACTCAGATTCACGTCCACTTCAACACAAGTTGGCACCGCGCCAGCGAATCTGTCCGAGGTTGCCTGGGGCTTCGAAACACAGCAGCGCTTGATGTGGACGAAGATCGACTTCGTGGTGAGCCTGCTCGGAACACAACAGGGTTGACCAGAGTTTCATGCAAGTGATGCCACCCTTCTAGTTTCGACCAGAAAGAGCACATGTTGACCATGTGAGAAGCCCTCTCAGTACTCTTCATCTTGCAGGTGTGCGCCTACATCCTCACCTTCTTGGGGTGTTTGGCCTTTGGCGTCCGTCAGCTGCGCATTTTCCAGAAGGCTGCCGGTGGCGTGCTTGGGTCATGAAACAAGCCGAGCAACTTGAAGTTTCAGACAGATGTAGGCCCTGATGCTTGGTGCTTACACAGTCGCTTGGGGAACCACACAGAGGGGGCACACAGGCATCCTTTGAGTCGCTATTCTAGGCGGCCGGTGTCGTGTTTGACAGCTCGTCATTGCAGGTGGACCTGCAAAACTCCACCCACAAGGACTACGCTGCCCGAGTGCGCAACCTCCCGCTGCTTTCCTAAATGATCCCGACTGGCACCCTGCCTTGAGACACTCCAGACTTGAGCGAGTCATGAGCCTGCAGACTGTCCAGACACGTTGCGGAAGCAGTCCTGTTCAGTGTCCTCTTCAGCTTTTCAGCCGACCGTGCACCATGGACCTGATCCGGCGAGTCCTTATGTGAAAGCACAAACGATGCAGCCTCTGAGCGCTTATGCGGTAGACTTTGAACTTTACACTTCATGAGGTTGATGGATGGCACAGAGCCCGTGGAGGAGGAGCTTAAGAAGCGGATCGAGGATACTACTGGGCAGAAGGTGCGAGCTTTGCGTGTGGAAGTGTGTTGCAGGTGATTGCACTTTGGCATTGCGTGGTCACCCGATCAGGTCGTGGGCGTCTCCGTATGCTGGGACTTTCAGGAGCATGAGGATGAGCTCATGGAACTCATTGAGAGCAAACTCGTCGAGAAGGAGGAGAGACTTCACCCGGCTCCCACAAGTGACCCCGGCACTGATGAGTC